GAAAACACTCTCTCTCTCTCTCTCTCTCTCTCTCACACACACACACACACACACACACACACACATGCATGCATGCACACTGGACCCACTCACTTCGGTGACCTCAGATCCTGCTACCACCCCCCTCCCCACCTTCTTCTGAAACCCGAGGGCTCCTTGCTGTTCTCAGAACACAACAGACATGCTCTTGCCTTGAAACCTTCACTCTGCCTGCTATCTATTCCTGCAAAGTCCTTCACTACCACATCTTCACGTTCATTCCCTCAGCACCTGTAAGTCTTTGCTCAAATGTGAACTTACAGGAAAGCCTGCCCTGACCTCCCTGTTTTAAACTTAAATGCCCCCTAGCTCCTGTTCCAGTATCCTTACTCCTCTTCCCTGCTTTACTTTTTGCTCCATAGGATTTATCCCCTTCTAATATATTATAATTTACTTATTTACTTTGTATTCTTTCTACTTCTATTTAAAATATAAACTCCATGATTTTTGTCTGTTTTATTCATTGCTAAATCCCCAATATCAAGAACTGGGTGTGCCACACACTGGTTGCTGAGAAAGAAAAATAAAGAGCAGCCCCTGACATTCAGAAGCCGACCTGGCCCACACAACTAGGCCATATATATTGTCTGATTAGACATAAGCTAACTCACAGAATACCAACCACTAACAGGTTACTGTGAGACCAGAATACAATAAGAGAAAGCAAGTCCATTTTATAATTTTGTCTAAGCACAGACAAAAACAAAGTCCCTGTGCCACCCACAAAATACCAAACACTTCTTCTCTGGCCAAAATGATTAACCGCTGCTTCTCTACCAATTACAGATTAGTCCTTGTTCTAATCTCCCCTCCCTTAAGATTTATTGATTTATTTCTACCAAATTATAGAAAGCGAAGTCACTTCTAACAGCATCCAATCTAGAGCAAACCCGATTTCCCTAGACCCTCCCACAAATCACCCAACCAAAGCCCAAATTCTATAAAAGGTTCAATAATCCCTCGTACTGAGCTACCCCATGGTGTATGTTCTTCCACACTGCGAAGAGTAATAGAGCCAGGACAGGCTCAACTACAGGTGTATTCCTGGTGGACTTTGGCTGGAGGGAATTGACAGTGCTTGAAAAATATTTGTTGAATGAAGGAAGGAATGAAGAAAGGCAGATCCTAGAATATAATGTCTCTAGTGCAATTAGATTCACTAATTAAATCCATTGCCATCTTCACAGGGGTTAAGTATGCAGAATTTAATGGGAGCACCAAGCTGTTTATCTCTATCTTATAAAGTTCAATTAATCAAGTTCTTATTGAAATTTAGTTTTAATCCAGTCTCTCTGCAGAACTAATAGTTAACAAATCTGTGAAAAGATTGTACCCAGTGATACCTGTCTAGTTATTCAGAATATAAAGGTATCCTAGCTTTTCCTTTATCTAGTATGAGTCAGCACTGTTCAGAAAGATTACACAGCTCCTAAGTAAATGTCACTTCAGGATGAGACTTAGTAAATGGCCTGAGGCCCCTTCCCCCTCACCTTCTATCAGCTTCAAAGTTTAGATATACTGAATACATTCCTCCGCAATCTGTGATCTACACTCTGAACTTTATGACTCTTAATTATAATCATGGACAGTGACAAGAAAGTTCAAAGCTTATTTATTTTATTCATCAGGTACCTGCCATACACTATCCTGAAGTTATGAGGGACACAGTGAGGTATAAAGCCATCGTCCATTTACTCAAAGGGATCAGAATGTACATAAGGAGATGCCAGGTTATATCTCACTCACAGAGCATGGATTTATATTTTCCTTTGTGTGTGAAAAAGAAACACAATAAAAGTGATTTTAATTCACCTCCTCAAAATCAAAGAAAGTACATTCCTTTCTAGGTCCTGAAGGAAAAATAATCTGCTTCTTGCTTCTCTCTAATCCTGCCCTGGCAGATACCTTGATACAAGTGCAGGCAGCCTGTGCACATTACCAACTTAACCAGATCTCCAAGAATAGCAAAGGAAAGGAAGTACCCCACTAGAGGTAGTGACAATCACCCCATTCTCAAGAAAAGTCTCTGGGGGTTGTCTCACCATCCTTAAGTGAAAAGCAAGCTGTGTTTTATATCCTGAACACTTTCATGAGGTATTCAACATTTGCTCATTGCATAATTAATTTCAATGGAATGAGGTCACATCAATGACATCTGCATAAAAAGGCACTTATTATCTACCTCTATGCTGTGTTGTAAGGCAGAGCAAACAGGTTTTCTGCAACTTGGAAATCTATGACAATGACCCAGAACACTGATATGGATAGATTGAATAGAATACAGACAACTGAGCAAATATTAAAGAAGTCTGCAAATTAATAAACACGTGAATTAACATTTTGTATAAGTAGAGCAAGTATACAACTTCAACTAGGAATGTTGGCAGGAAACCTTGAGGAGTATATGCTCAGATTGGATAAGGCCATGGAGAATTCACAACCTTTTTTCAAATTAATCATCATGTGATGTAGCAGGCTGATGAAATAAATGACTTTCCCATGACATATTCTGAACCTGCTTTGGAGATCTGGAATTTTCCCAGGAAGTTAGGGTCTTATGATCATTATGAGAACGTGTTGATTACCCACTGCTGGCTAAAGGCAAAACCTCTAGCAGCTCTAAAACCTTTTCGAATTAGGGAATAAAATTAATTTCCCTCTCCTACTTTGACCAAGCAATCAATAAAAAAACAATATTTGTAAAACATTCTACATGTAAAAAGTGTATTTTTCTTGCATCTCTCTTTTGAACCTCACAACAAACAGAAAAGGTGTATCTACCAACATATAATCTAGTGCTAGTAGGTGGCAAGACCAGTGCTATACAACTGTACACAAAATCATGTGATCGTTTCAAGTTTATAATCTGTTTTAAAGGGAAGGTTGTGAATGGTCAATGGATACTTAGAGAAATGAAGATTAATGAGGATGAGCCTGGTTGGAGTATTCTCAACCAAGACAAAATACAAGTGAAATTGAAAAGGATAACAGGGTTGTGGCTATGAAGAAGCAAGGGCAGTTGGGGAGAGGGTAGGGGAGCTCATGGGAAGGGAAGATTGTGTTAATGTGGAAGTCTGGAAAGCAGTAGAAGTAGGAAATTAGTCCATGCAGCACCCAGCTCAGCGCCTTAAATTTGAGAAGCACTCAGTAAAGACAAAAATGAAAAAAAGTGGGCCCTTAATGAGGCAATGAACTTTCTTCAATCTCATCAATCAGATAATCACTGCTGCTTCTGAAGAAGATATAAGTTTCTCCACCAGTACTACCCCGAGAGAGAACTGTCAGCACAAGTTCCTCTCTTGAGAGTAGAAAAAGTTCTAATATTTTTGATTCTATGAAAAGGGCAGCCACTGAAAAATTTTGAATAGGTAATAAAAGCAGTGTTTAAGGGAAATTAATGTGGCCATGGGATGTGATTTAGGTCAGAGCGAAGGGACAGTAATGTAGTAAATTTGGCTATAACTCAGGTGCATAGGCCAGGTAAGGGGAAATGAGGGCCATTAGGGGAGTTTTCAGTGAGAAAGAGAAAAAAAGTCACAAAAAGTAATTACATTGTTCAAATTATAGGACTCAATGATTGATAAGATGGAAAAAAGGAGGAAAATATACCATATTTTACTCTTTGACTTAAAATCAGAGGAAACAGTTAGTGACAGAAATGGAGATGAGAACCAAGAAGACTTAGTAGAAAAGAGAACATTTTTTGGTGAGATAATATCTTTCCTTCATCCCCTCTGATGTGAATGAGGAACAGCAGTTAGATTTTTTACCATCGTCTTGGAACAAAGGGCTCTCTCACAAAGAAGATGGAAGAAAAATGCCCAGAGATGTCTAGATATATGGCCAGTATGGACTTTTCCAAATCCCTGCACTTGGCTTGGATAGGTTCCAGGCCTAAGAGGTGATCATGGATGGGTGCTAGAGAAAGCAGAATTACACAGTTTGATGAAGGAGCAAGAACACCAAGCCACTGCCCTATCACCCGCTGGAAGCATGCCTGGAATCGATGCTTATTACACAAGAGTAATTCTATGTCTTCAATACAAACACTTATCACTTATCACTATCTCCACACACATCAACTCAGCCTCCAAAACCTAGTCAGGGAAGAAGAGAACAGTGCAACTCACAAGAAGAGAGAGATGAGGACAGTCTCAGAAAGAGTTTTGCAAAGGCTGTTGACACATTTCCCAGATGATTATTATCTAGCGGTCATAGTGAAAATAATTAACATTGAGATCATCTGCACTGTGTGGATTTATTTTCTTTTGTTCTGTCGGGGAACAGGATAGATAGTAAGCTACTCTCTGGTTTCCGTATACCACGGTACTTTTTTATTTAAATTTTTAAAAGTATACCTCGAATTCAGTCTAGCTGTTGCATTTTTCTCAGTGCTCATATCACCATGCCCAATTCAAATTTTCTAAATATAACAAATAGGAAGAGACATCACAAGTTCCTAACCTTATAATGTGTGTTCCTTGATATTTATTTTGACTTAAAAAAGAAAAGAAAAAAGTCCTGTGCATTCATAGTTTGGAGTAATATCTAGCCCAGGTGTTAGTCAAATTCTAACAGCCACCTGCACTTGTAACCCTTGCCCCACAATGGACTACGTTTCCCAAGAGCACACTCCGAGTGACTTACATAAAGTGCATTGTGGGAATTGTGGTCCTGGGTGAGTCTCTTCTCTCCCAGTCCTTGACTCACGCTCTAATTCCGGGATGGTTGAACCAATTAGCTGGAGCCATGTCGGCGGCGCAGTGGCCCAACCGGGAAAGCTGGTGTGAAAGCCTCGGACAATGATTGGTCACTAGATGACCCCGGGGCGGGGCAATGAGGTGGGCGGAGCGAGCACGGCGATTGGGCGACGAGCCCGAGGCGGCGGGCGGGGATTGGCTGCGCGCTGGCTTAGAGAGGCCTGGGAAGGGGCGGTCGAAGAAGACCAGGACAGGAAGAACAGCGGTGAGGCGGTGGAGGTGGCTGAGTCGCTGGTGGCAGAGGCGAAGGCGACAGCTCCAGGGGGTGGCAGCGGCCCCGAGAGCAGAATGCGGGTCCGGCTCGGGCTGACGCTGCTGCTCTGCGCGGTGCTGCTGGGCACGGCTTCGGCGTCCTCGGGTCAGTATCCGCCCCCTCGGGCTGAAGGCCCGGAGCCGCCGCCCCCCCGGCCTCCGTCTGTGGGCAGGGCCGTGGGGGCTCCAGGCGCGGACAACCCTCTCTCTAGTCCCGCCTCGCACTGGACTGTTACTCGCTTTTTCTCTGGTCTTCGGTTGGCCTGGACTAAAGGGGGTGTTTAGGCAGCTGGAGAGGGGAGGAAAAGAAGGGGCGGTCACCCCTGCCCACACCTCTCCCCCACGTAACAAACTTTAAGCGACTCCTCACGAATGAGGAATTGGCTCCATGGGAGTGAACCCCAACAGCTGGCTATGACCCACCGTGACACCGGAGCCCGAGTGGAGCTTCCTCGACCCTCATGTAGACGAGGTGCTGCATCGGGTCAGGAACCTGGGTCTGGGATTTGTCAATGAAGTAATTGACACACCTGGAGCTGTCACTTTGGGCCAAGCAGGGTCCATCAAGACCAGAATGTTGACAGTGGTTCGGTGGGTTTGCTTAACACCTGAGGTGGTCCCAGGTCCATTTGTCTATTTAAAAACGAAGACTTCGGATGTAATTATAGCCCCTCTCTGCCCCTGTTTTTAAAAACCTGAGAAAGTGGTGACCTCTGTTACAGTGTTTCTTAGTTGCCCCATGTTTGTTGACAGTGATTTTATGAGTTTTGAGAAATCTTGGTCCTTATAAAATGATTAGCAAATTTTAGTTTCAACTTTTTGTTTAGATATTTATGTGGTCTTGAATTGATTTTGCAATTAGTTGATTTATACTCTGGTTCTGAAAATGATTTTTTTCTTTTTTATTGTTTTAGTCTGCCTACATCTGAAAACCTCTATTTTGAGAGTGTTGATAAAAAAGTGTTTCTGAGTGTTGAAAGAGCAACAATTAGTACAGTAAAGCCTTGGAATTTTAATCAGTTTCAGTTAACAAGACAGCTGTACTGTGGATTTAATTTTTTTTTTGGAGCAAGGCAGAGTATAAATGTCAACTCTTTTCGTTTTTGTTTTTTTTTTAACAGAAAATTTCCCGGATGGTTATTCGAATCCCCAAATTATCTGTCCTAGTTGTAAATCAATGTCATAACGTCATTCAGCTTCTAAAATGAGAGGCCTAAACCTAAAATTCTACCCATGTAACAGAAAATTTCCCGGATGGTTATTCGAATCCCCAAATTATCTGTCCTAGTTGTAATTCAATGTCATAACGTCATTCAGCTTCTAAAATGAGAGGCCTAAACCTAAAATTCTACCCATGATGTGGTTTGAGAGACCATTTCAAAAACAACAAGCATTTGCTAATTACTTTGCTACCCTATCATGCTTTGAGGTCCACTCCCCTCCCTCCAGTTGTAGTGATGATTTGTGTTCATGACCACATCTTTAAAGACTGTACATAACTGTTGAAGCACTTCTAGCAGTTGTTTGATCAAGAAAGTATGAAATGAAGCTAAGTTTAATAGGTTGAGTACCTGATGGACCGTGGGCCCCACCTGCATCAGAATGTCTTTTAGGGGTTGTTAAAACTTTAGTTTTAGGTCAGGAACAGGTTGGGTTGGGTATCTGTAGGTTAAAGCCCCATAAGTGATTCTTCATACCAAAGTTTGAGAACTACAGTAATTAAAGAACATGGTGTATATTCCTCTGAATTCAGTTTGCAGAGTTTAAAGAAAATTAAAGCATACAAATTTGTCTCCAACTTTCTTTGATTATAGTTCATGTAATTAGAGCTCCATGTCAATGGAGACAGGAGAAGATTGACAGTTGGGACTCTCAGGGTGGTATAATAAAGATTATTAATACTCAAGTGTTAAATTTTTGGGTTGTATTGAAGTAGAGGATTGTGTTCAAGAAATGTCTGCTCTAATTTCCATCATAATTAAAGCTATGCCAAAACATTTCTCTGGTAAAGGCAAAAACCTTATTTAGCCAGAACTAAAGCAATATAGATGTGCATGCTGAAAAGTACTGGTAATAAAGGCAGTACTGTGCTCACATGAAATTCAAATGTCATAAAATACTTGGGTGAGATAAAGTTTTTTTGTTTGTTTGTTTGTTTTTTGTCTTTTTTCCGTGTCCGGCAACGGATCGCAACCC